AGAGGACGGGCGGCGGGGTCGAGGTCGAGGTCGATGTTGAGGGTGATGGTGAGAGGACAGGCGGCCAGGTCGAGGTCAAGGGCGACGGTGACGGCGAGAGGACGGGCAGAGGGGTCGAGGGCGAGAGGACGGGCGGGGTCGATGGCGACGGCAACGGCGACGGCGACAGGACGGGTGGGGTCGAGGGCGAGGGCGACGGTGATGGTGAGAAGATGGGCCAGGTTGAGGTTGACGGCTGGGGTGAGGGCGAGAGGACTAGCAGCTCTGGCGTTGGAAGCGGGCAACCTCCAACATGTTGTTTGAATTGCGCTGCAGACATCCATCGACCACAGGAGCAGAAGCAAAGTCGATCCATCTTTTTGTGGCAACAAAGAGAAAGAAACCAAAGGAAATCGCAAAGCTATTTCTTGTCGACTGATGACGAACCATTACTCAACTGGCGGAAGCCGCCTTAACTCCATTCCGATAACAATTCAATAACAGCGAGCACCGCCGCGGCCAGAGTCCTCTTCGCCGCCTGTGCCTCAGTCACGTTCTGCTCAAATCCGCAGCTTGCAGCATGGCCGCTGGCGACAACAAGGGGGGAAGAAGAAAATGAGTCTTCTTTCATGCGGCGGCCATCGTCGTTGAACCTCCACAGAAACGAAGGCGCGCGTACCGATTTGTTCGTCCATGTCGAGGGCTGCAGGCGCCTGCACAGCACCAGAGGTACGCTCCTCGGCCGCCTGCAACTCTCGCGCTTCCTTTGTCGTCAGGACAGAGCGGTACTGAATGCGCGGGAAGGAAGGGCGTGATGTGTACCAAACTGAGAGTCGGAGAGAGGCGGCGCCTGATGGGCCATCACCCGCTGGTTGTGAGCACTCACCGCGCTCCTCTGCGCCTCCAGCTTTTCCTCCAGGTCCAGCGAACGTGCTGTGGAGGAGTTAAATTCAGAACCGAATTACGCTCAACTCAGAGCTGCGTACCGAATTGAGAGTCGGAAAGGACGGGAGCGTCCTCATCGAGCCTCTGGGGCTGGACCCCGCTTCTCTCCTCTGCGTCCAGCTGTCGGGCTTCAGTACGCAAGCACCACCATTCCCCCGGTAGTAGGATGTGAGTCACACCCACACTCCACTTCATCTGTCGGTCGTGGTGTGGTGGGGAAGTGTGGTGGATGTATACCGAATTGAGAGTCCGAAAGTACTGCAGGTGCACCACCACCTGCACCAAACAATGCAATGAGAAACGCAAGGAAAAGAAGTGAGCAGTGCGCGTGATCAGAGAGAGCAGAGCACCGGATGGGCTCTGAAAAGTGCTGCCTCTTTCCAGTTCCTCCTGCAGTTTCATCCCTCATCATCATCATCGCCATTAACGTTTCATCAAGTCAGCACACAGCGTACCCGGAGCTTCTTGGCCAGCTCGGCGTCTTGCCGTATCGTCTCTCCCTTCTCTTTCGTGTGACCAAACGGCACACGGCACACGGCACACGGCACACGGCACACGGCACACGGCAGAAAAGGTGAGCTTTGCTGCGGCAAGCCAGGTTGGTGTGTGAAGGTGATGGGTTTTGGCCGACACCTTCCCAGGTCTTCCAGACGAGGGCCTGGCCCATGGCCAGCGGCAGAAGGGCCTCCTCGTCGTTGTCGCCCTGCTTTGGGAGGAAGAGCGCCTCCTCCTTCCTCTTCTCTGGGCCGGCGAGGGGCGACCCTGACTCGCGCGGTGCGGCGAGGGGCGACGCCGGGGGCGTGAGCGACGTGACCAGGTCCTCCGCGCGCTGACGCACCGAACGCGGCGAGAGGGCCGGCGAGTGGTGGTGGGCGGCGGCGGTGGTCGGCTGGTGGGCGGGGAAATGCGGCGCAGCGGCCGAAGGCAGCAAGTCGGAGGAGGTGATGGTCATTTGCGGGCTCTGGGCCTTGGGTCCGACCACGGGACTCGCGGCGGCACCATTGTGGTGGGGGTGGTGTAGGCCGCTGGGTGGGTCGTCTTCGTGTCTGCGGTTGAACATGGCTGACTTCAGTTGGCCAAAGAAAGAAAAAGAAAGAGAGAACGAAAAACTAAGAAAACACCAAATTAGTGATTGGCCACCAGAAGAATAAAGAAGAAGAACTTGCACATTTTCACTTCATCTGCCCAGCCATCGGCCACCTCGCTGCTGTTTGCCTTGCCCGCCCAACCTAAAGAACGACAACTACACATATCATGCACTGTGCTGGTACTGCGCCCCCCCCCACGGGGGCTGAATGTTTGTTCGCCGATTGACCTTCGCCGGGGGCAGGGAGCGGAGCGAAAGACACGGCCAGCTTCGAGGTGGGCCTCAGCGATGACCGCCTACCCCCGCTCTCCTCCATCACCCACGAAGGTTTCTCCTTCTCTCTCTCTCCTTCTATTCTGCTGGTGTTGTGTTGTGTTGAACGCCATCTCTGACACGGCCTGTGTGCAGGCATGTTCTACGAACACTACTTTGACGTGGGCTCCGAAAACGAGGCCCTCTTCTCGTGCGACTGGTCCTTCGCCGCATCCAAGGACCCACTCAGGTTCCCTAGTGTCCCTTTGTACCATGTTATGTGTCGTGTGTCGTGTGTCGTGTGTCGTGTGTCGTGTGTCGTGTTGTGCGTCGTTGTGACGTGGGTTGTGCGTATTGTGTGTGCTGGCGTGGATGGCAGCGGGGCGATGGAGTACTACGTGGGATGCGGCATGCGCGGCAAGCTCGACGGGGAGGGCATCAGGAAACACGGCCGGCCGCCCGTACAGCTGTCCATCGTACTCGACATCTCCGGCTCCATGGACGTACCCTTCCGCCCCGGTACGCTCCCCTAAAGGTGATCAAGGCAGCGCTAGACCGTTTACTCATCACAGCCTTTGTGTGTCGCGTGTGTGTCGCGTGTGGTGTACGCAGTGTAGATGACACCAAGACCAAGCTGGAAGTGGCCAAGGACTGCGTGATGACCCTGCTCGACAATCTCCAGCCTAATGATGCCTTAGGCCTCGTCGTTTTCGATGACGTAAGCACACACGCACCGCACACGCACTGCGCACGCGTTCACCGACGAGAGCGCATATATACAGGAGATGGATGTGGTGCAGGAGATGCAGTTGGTGAGCGCGCTGGACATGGCGGCGCTCAAGGCGGAGGTCACCAAGCTCCGCCCGCGCTGGTGCACCAATATGCTTAGGGGCTTCCGCGGCGGTGTGCAGCTCATCACCCAATACAACGCACGAACCGCGGAGGCCCGCGACCGGCCCGCCCAGCGCTTCAAGCAGTTTTTCTCCGACCTCATCGCAATCTCGAAGCCTCGCGCCCACTCCAAGCGCATCATGTTTCTCACCGACGCCTGCGTACGCTCCCCACGCTCGCCACTCCAAATTCTTGCTCACTCTCATGCGTGTGCTGTGTGTGCTGTGTGTGTGTGTGTGTGTGCTGTGTGCTGTGTGTGGGTGTGTGTGGTGCGTGTGTGTCGCGAGAACAGCCAAATGGTGGGGATGATGAACATCTCCTGGGCGCTGCACAAAAGTGCGTGGAGGAGGGCCAGATCTATACCACCTTCATCGGCCTCGGCGTCGACTTTGGCGTCGAGGTACGTACCGACCACCCTTTCGCGCACGCTTCGCTTAGCTCCCCTTCATCGTAGCGCTTACCCTTTGCCGCGCTGGTGACTGGCAGTTGGTGAACTCGATCGCGCAGATCAAGGGGTGCAACTATTTCACGGTGATGTCTTCTCCCGAGTTCAAGAAGCTCATGGAGCAGGACTTTGACTACGTGGTCACCCCGGCCTGCTTCGACCTCGATGTCGCCATCGTCCAAGACGGCACCTCCGCCGTTCAAGTTCAGCGGTACCCCTCGGCTGAGACATTCACTCACTTAGAAAAAGAAAAGTGTCTGATTGTGGTTTTGATGGTTTTGCAGGGTGTATGGCTCGCCCGGGCACGAGATTCCCACAGACGGCCTGGTACGCGGCCCACCACCTCTGACGACGGTGAAGACAGGACTGACGTGGTCGGCCGGGGTGTCGTGCGCACATGCAGTTGTTGCACATGGCGAGCGGTTTTCCTTCGGCCATAGATGAGAACGGATGCACCAAAGGCGGCATGATCCTCGTCAAGGTGGCCCCGTCCCCCTCCGGCCCTCGTACGAGCCTTCAGTCTCTTAGTCCCGCGGGCGGCGTTGATTGCGGAAGCTGACCGTCGCTGCTGCTCTTTTACAGTTGTGAAGCAGGTGCTGGAGCTGATGGTGACGTACAGCGACGTTGATGGCAAGAAGTACCAAAGCAAGAACAGCCTCGAGGTCGAGTTCGGAGTCGACGACGAGCGCTACTCGAACAACGCCATCCGCAAGGCCATCCTCCTCACCAGGTACTTACCTCGGTGCACCGCACTCTAAATCAGGTCAATCTGTCTCATCGCACACGCACACGCACACGCACACGACACACGACACACGCCCGGATTCTCGTGTGCAGGTTCGTGAATGCGATGAAGTGGTGGATCACGGACCACCAGCAGCCCGATGCGGAACCGGGCGCGACAGTGTCGGAGTCAAACGGCATCCCGCCGGCGCCCGTGGGCGACAAGGACGTCGGCTCCCCCTCGCTCCGGGTGTCGCCGCACTACAAGGCCGCGTTCAGCCGCCTCCTCGCCCACTACGAGCGCGCCGCCGAGCAGCTGGTCGACGCCGGTGACGTCGGCGACCAGCTTAACGAGCACGCTCGCCAGCTGGTGGGCCTCATCGACTTCATCTCGGCCGACGAGATCCAGCGCGTGCTGGCCACCGTCACCACCGACGACGAGGTGGCCGGCGTCATCAGTAATACTACTGCCACTGTGTCATCGTTCGTCGATGCCGACGAGCTGCAGCGCCGATGCGAGGCGGCACTGAAGGTGGACGACCTGAGCGCCAAGCGTAGCGCCTTCGAGACGGAGATCAAGCGTCGGCTGAAGAACGTCATCGTGGCCAGGCTGGCGGCCCGCGAGGACAAGGAGGCGCTCAAGCAGGCCCTCACGGTGAGTGCGACGACCGACGACGGCGGCGGCGACAATGGCCAGACGGCGGCGGCTGCGGTGGAGGCCAAGCAAGCCGAGGTGGTGGAGGAGCTGGCGGGCTTCATCCGAGCGAGGCCCGACCAGGACTGGAGCGAGTGGCAGGACATCGTGGAGGACGAACTATACAAACTGGTCCACGGCGAGCCTCGGTTCAGGGGTTTTGTCTGGGGGGGTTTCTAACCCCCCCCCCACCACAACCACCAAGGTCTCTTTCTTGGTTTTTCTCACGAGATCTTCTCACATTGCCCGCTTCTTGAGAGAGTCACCCTCGGTTGGTGTGCTCGCCGCGGCTTGTCTCTTCAGCTTCTTGCGCGTAGCAGTCCGGCCAGGCTGCTTTGGGGTCGCGGGTTGCGCTACTTCTTCTCCACTCTCCCCGTCTTCGTTCACCTCTTCCTCTGCTTCATCATCATCTTCCTCATCTTCCTCCTTCTTCCTCGCCGCCTCCTTCTTTCCTCCTCCCGTTTTCTTCTTTTTTGATCTCTGGTGTTCCTCCTCGCTCTCGTTCTTTTCTTCGTCCTCCTCCTCCTCCTCTTCCTCTTTTCTCTTTCCTCTCCTCTTCCTCTCTTCCTTATTCTCCTCTTCCTCCTCTTCGCTCTTGTCCTCTTCGTCTTCTTCATCATCGCCATCGTCATCATCATCCACCGCATGCCGTTTGCTTCGTCGCAGCGTTACAGGCCGGGGTTCGTGCTGTGGGCACGTCCACTTCTCCTTGGGCACCTGCGTTCCCCCACATAGAAAGAGAAGTGAGTGGTGATGATGGTGCCTGGGGGGGGGGAAACAAGAGGAGGAGGGACGGGCTATACCTGCTTGAGCGGTGGGTCGAGGCACTTGAGGTGGTACACACGAGGGCACACCTCGCAGCAGAGCAGTCGGCCCCCGCCCTCGCACACCTCGCACGCCGACTTGGAGTTGGCGAGGCACGATTTGCAATACCTGCGTTGCGTGCACGCGAGCAAGAGAGAAGAGCGGTCAGTCCGGCCTCGGCGCCTAACTGGTGGTTGTACGAATGGTGGTACGATACCATTCGCCGCTGGGCACCGATTTCAGGCGCGGATTGAGACAGAACGTGTGGAAGCCGCGGTCGCAGCCGTCACACAGCAGCATGCAGCCCGGCTGAGTGCTGCGTCTGCAAATCTGGCACTTCTCCTATACCGTTCACAATCACAACACAAGAGAAAATGAAAGGAAGGAAGGAAGGAAGGAAGGAAAGAATGAATGAATGAAAGAAAAAAGGCAAGTCTGGGGCAGGAGACAACAAAGGTGTGCTTACCGATTGTTTCGCTTGCTGCCATTGGATTGCGCCTTCGAAGACGGCTAGCACCAGCGCCACCTGACTCAGCGATGTGGCCACACTGTCGCGGCAAAAGCGTCGCCATCTCGTCTGTCTGGTCGAGTTGTGCCAGTCCTTCTAAGTTGGTGTGACACCAGCCACACAACAGGCGACACGTCAGGCCTGACACTGAAACGAACGAAGGGACCCTACGAAGTGTGTGTGAGTGAAGCACAGTCGTACCTTCATCGCCTTGCCAATCATTTGCGCCTCCAGGAAAAGCAGCAGCTCACACAGTACCGCTGGACTGTGCTCTGTTTCCACTGTCTGAGGCGTACATAGACCAGGCGTGCGGCTTTGATGTTAGAAAAATAATAGTACTTGCACAGATGCACATTCAAGGTATCCTGGTGGTTGCAAGAAGACACGATCTGAGGTAGTCAGTAATGCTGTTGTACTGTACCTTTCGCCAGGCAGGCCGCTTCTTGGCGTAGGCGACGCGGTTCAGCAGCAGTTGGTACGGGATCCGGTCCTCGAGGTCCAAGATCTGCTCACGAATCTGTGGCCCGACCACAACCACAACCATAACAACGCATCATACAACTGAGATATCAGTTCTCGCACTCGGCACGCAGGGGTGAGGCGAGAGGGGAGAGGCAACCTTTTCCAGACTGACCAACCGCTGCAGGGGCTTGACCACGTCCATGAGGTCTTGCTTCTTCGACCCGGCCTCCTTAGCTTCGCTGGCGTCGCCTTCGTTGTCTTTGTCGCTCCCTTCATCGTGTTGGTCCGCTGGTTGACCTCCTTCTTCTTCATTTTCCTCCTCCTTCTCCTTTTCTTCTTCTTCTTCTTCCTTTTCCTCGCATGGCTCCGCGCTCGAGCGCATGAACCGGTTGCGCCTGACCTCGGCGAGCCGCTGTCTCTCCTCTCTCTCCTTCTGCTTCTCCTCCTTGTCGCGCGCGTCGGCGTAGGGGATGGTGAGGAGGATGTTGTCGTAGTACCGCTTCAGTTCGGCGTCGAGGGCCTTCTCCCTGATGCCGTTCACGTTGAGGTACTGCATCACCTCCTCTACTCTGGATATCCTCGACGCCAACTTTCCCAAGAGCCAGACGATCAGCTTCAAGTCCAGCTTCTACGACACGTCGGTCTTTGGCTTGGCGCACCGCAATATGTGGCTCGTCCACCAGCAGGGCCGCTGGACCCTGAAGTACTACACGCCAGCAAGGGACGAGAACTTCTCGGTTGTCTTCCACGTGGAACGCAATCGCAAGGCGATCGAGCATATGCTGGCGAAGAGCTGAACCTACCCTATGCCAAGATAGAGACACTCTTCGCCACCCCCTACGCCGAGATGGGCATCACTCGCCGCATCTACATTTCCTCCACTGGCTGCTCTCTCTACGTCGACGTAGCGCGGCTCGCCCCCGGCGATCACTATCTGGTCGGGACCATGTGTCTCCCGGCGGAATGCGCGCCCAGCCTTAAGCTTGATCTTCTCGAGGCGGTCACGCCTGTACGCAGCCGCGTGGTGGAGTACCTCTACCACTACAACCGGCCCCTATGATGAGAGAGTTGTTCGCCGGCGAGGAAGTGCAACTGCTGCGGTCCATTGACGTGGGTCCCGACGACGAGGAAGTCATCGCGACCTACAGGAACGGAGCGACCGAAGCGGAGATGGAGTGGCTGCCTTTCCTGCGGATGGTGAGCGCGCTCTTCTTGCAAGGCGTGGAGCAAGGCGTGTATGCGCGAACCGCAACCGTGGACCCCTGACCGCACGGTCAGAACTGGTCTTCGTAGCTTGAACATCGTGTTTGTGGTCTTGTTCATCGCTCCTGGCTCGGGAAGAGGTTGGTGCAGGCGCGTTTCTCGATGATAAAGCTTTTATTCCCTCGCTGGCTGCGTATTACTCCTTCTTGGCCGCGTAGACATCGCGGGCCAGGTAGGCCTTGATTCGCTGGCGAGACGCCACGCCATCGAGGAAGGCCTGGAGGTTGGGGTACTTGGCTGCCGCGTCCTTGCTGCCCTCCACTCGCGAGAACACCATGCCCAGGGTCACCCACAAACTCACGTCGGCCACGCTCAGCTACAAACAACGACGACACAATGTGGTCAGGCGCACGCTGGCAAGCAACTTCGAGCATGCAGCAGAGTGTTCATGCTCGTGGTCGACAAGGTACCTTGGAGCCGACGAGGTGGCCGTTGTTACCGTTCTTCTCGAGCAGCTTGGAGTAGATCTCGAACTGCGCGGGAAGGAACTCGTTGAGCAGGCTGGCCTTGGCCTCGGCTCGCTTGTCGTCCGGCAGCGGAAGGAACAACGCCTGTATGAGGCGGCTCACGATGTCGGCCACGCCCTCCGATGCCTGGTCGATGAGGGCAGCGTCGTGTGCGGTCTCACCGTAGTAGCCGTGCTCCCGCGCCACATGTCGGGCGATGGCCGAGCTCTGCGCCAGCACCAGCCCGGGCTCCTCGTAGATGGGCAGCTGGCCAAACGGCGCCTTCCCTATATCATCCCCAGAGTGAGTACCCAGGCTGGGGTGTGAGCCATCAACAAGGAGGGAGGTAATGAACCTGCGGCTTGGTACTCAGGCTTGACCTCGGCCCAGTTGGTGATGGCCACGAAGTCGTAGTCCACGCCGGCGTCTTCCAGAAGAATGCGCGGAACCTCGGCACGACCGGCCGAGTTGAAGTAGGTGAGGGTGGCTTGGTCACTGTCGCGCTGGCCATC